TTTTCTGTCTTCTCTCCATGTCCTCACATGGCCCTTTCGTGGTATTTGCACCTCCCTGGCATCTCTTTGACTTCTTATAAGGACACCAGTCATATCAGATGAGGGCCCACCCCTACGACTTCATTCAATCCTATCTCAATCATCAGCCTCTGAGATTCCAGGAGTTAGAACTTCCAACATACATATTTGAAGGGGACAAAATTCAATCTCTAATAATTGGGATCACGTTTCGAGTAACTATGTGACCTGGCTAATGACCTTGATCTTGAAAGTTATAGTAAGCCAAAGGAGGCTTTTAAGGACTGGAGTGACAAAATCAGGTTGTTTGTTAGTTTTTTAAGTCAATAACTGAAAATAGAAACAAGGAAGTAGTAACTTGTAGCAAGGAGAACAGGAAGAAGCTCAGTACAGTACCCAGGACATAAAAAAGGAAGGATGAGGCTGAGCATGGTGGCTCACACCTATAATTCCATCACTTTGGGAGGCTGAGGCGGACGGATCTCTTGAGGTCAGGAGTTCGAGACCAGCCTGGCCAACATGGTGAAATCCTGTCTCTACTAAAAATTCAAAAATTATCCGGGCATGGTGGTGGGCACCTGTAATCCCAGCTACTGGGAGGCTGAGGCATGAGAATCACTTGAACCTGCAAGATGAAGATGGAGCCACTGCACTTCAGCCTAGGCAACAGAGTGAAACTCTGTCTCAAAAAAAAAAACAAAAAACAAAAACAAACAAAAAAAAAAACTAAGGAAAGGTGATGTTTGCACAATCCTAAGACAAGAGTAATAGATATAGCAAAATTTTGCCTGTTTTCTTCCACCACAAACTCATGGAATCTTCAATAAAATGTTGTAACAAACTACTTTTTGTCTGCCACATAGCTGAATTTAAAACAAATACCCAGGTGCCAGAACCTAAGCAGGAAATCAGAGCCAGAATGATGAGAAAGGCTGCTGGCACCTTGTCTATATCAGACCAGATATTGGACCTGTGGTCTGGAAGTGGGTATTTTAAAGCCATAGGGGAGAGAACCACACCTATGGGCCCAAGGAGCTCAAAGATCTGCCCAGCCTATAGAAAGGGGACTTAAAAAACTCTGACCTCTTATTCTTGGAAGCCACAAGAGAGCCTGCTGACTGTCCCAGAATGTAGATGGGGTGGGAATGGAGGTGGAGTACAGTAATCTTAAGAAGTAAAATCACTATCTTTACTTGAAAATATTTTTTTAATATCTAAATTTGAGTCAAGGAAACCTCAAACTGAGAGAGAACGGAGGAAAATCTAGCCTCAAAAAAATAAATCAAGAAATTTCCCCCAATACAAAAACAGCATGGGTTTCCAGATTGAAGGAGTCCACCCTGTGCCCAGAATAATAAATTTCAAACACTAAAAAACAAAATAATTTTTTACAACTGTTCAGAAAGAAAACAACAGAACCCATACATATAACCAGAGTGGGTTTAGAGAGAGAATGTGCATTTGCATGTGTGTATATACACACGTATGTCAAAGAGAATCCTCATTTTCCAAAGTTCAAACTCAATAAATACTGCCTAAAAATCTGAAGTTAAGAAGTGGCAACATATGCATATTACTTATAAATATAGAGTAAAATACCAAAAACGAAGCATACAAACTCATCGGGAAGTATGGAAAGGGATTACACTGGGGTCTGGAATTGGGGATTAGTGTTCTTGTAACCCTAGTCCTTTCCTTCACCCTCAAAGTCCCTGGCCCCTTTGAAGGAGATGACATTAAATGACCATCTGTTCTCTCCTCTTTTGCAATCGCCTGTTCCCCGGTCACTTCTCTCAACCTCTGAAGTTTTAGCACCGGCTCACCTTCCTTCCCTCCACTGTTCTCCTGCCATTATTCCTGGGAATTTCAGTATTCACATCCTGCCTGTCACTATCCTGACCTCATTGCTTTCTACACACTTTTAATCTACACCTCCCTCCCCAATCTTCCATGGTCTGACCCTAGAACTTTCCAAAAGTCTTAATGCCAAATGCCTCACACTCTAAACATCAAAATCTTAATGAATAAATACTCTCTTTCATATTTCAAATTTCCTACTGTACCAAACCCACTTCAGTCTCTCCACTTTTACTACTTACCACCCCCTCTGGTCTCTTGTTCCTCCTCATCCAGTTTAGATCCACAGTTGATGACCATAAAATGTTACATATCCCCAATTGCCTTGTCTGTCTCCCCTACCATCATGTTCTACTGGCATACCCCAGAACCTGTTTAAAATTTATTGCTATATTTCATCAGTTAAATATGGACAAATATTTAAATAAAACTATAGACAAATAAAACTATAGACAAAACAAAGCCACACAACACAAATCCACATAGACTGGTTTCATTTTAAATTTATGTTCATAATCTCAAGAAAATCTTCAGCACAGCCTGGAAATTCTGCTATATTTCATTACTCAACTTGCTTGTCTGTTATCTAAAATAATTATCTCAACATGTCCTCTACTTTCCAAACTCCAAAATACTTTCTTTCCTTTCACTTTCAACTAATGGTGGCTCTTTTTTAGTTCACTCAAGTAAAAAACAAAAACAAAAAACAATCAAAAGAGGCAGGTTTAGTTCAAATTCCAGTTTTGCTACTCACTACCTAAATGAATTCTGTGAGCCAGTTACTTATTTTTTCTGGGACTCAGTTTACTCATCTGTACAAAAGGTAGAAAATAACAGTAGTGTCCAGTAATGAATGACATGTAGTTTCTGCTAATGAAATATTCTCTTAAAGAGAGAAACCAAAAACTGTCTCCTTTCCACTATCAAATCTCCTGTCTTACCCAGGTATTTGCATGTATCTGTGAACGCTGCCTTCCTTTCTAGTGCATACAGTTGTTTCAGGACCCCCATGAATACCAAAATCTGAGGATGCTCAAGTTCCTGACATAAAGTGGTATAGTATTTGCATATAGCCTATGCACTTTCCCCGATATACTTTAATTCATCTCTAAATTATTTATAATACAATGTAAATGCTATGTAAAACATTATTGTACCATATTGTTTTAAATTTGCATTATTTGTATTTTCATTGTTGCATTGTTATTTTTTATTGCTCTTCCCCACAGATATTTTTGATCCGTGGTTGGTTGAATCCACAGATGTGGAACCCATAGACAGGGAGAGCTGACTGGATGTCCATAGTACCTGCTTCCCCTTCTGGAACAGCAGATGAACTGTTTCGGAACTTCATTTCAACCCCCCTACATGAGTGTTGGATCTCTTTCCCTCTCCCCTATTCAATGACTTTGTTCCTGCAATTGTTCTTCTTCTATCATTTCCCATGACTTTTCCTCTGTCCAGTAAGTTATGCCATCAGCATATAAACATTATGTATTATCTTCCATCTTAAAGGTCCTTCAGTGCTGTCATGGCTTGTTTCTTAATTTCTTTTGTAAGAAAACTCCTTGAAAGAGCTGTTTACATTTGTTTTTCTTTTTCTGACCTCTGCCCCCATTTTCTGTCTGAATCAGAGCCTCACTCTGTCAGCCAGGCTGGAGTGCAGTGGCATAATCATAGCTCACTGCAGCCTCGAACTCCCAAGCAATCCTCCCACCTCAGTCCCCGAAGTAGTTGGAACTACAGGCATTTACCATCATACCTGGCTAAGGGTTTTTATTTTTATGTTTAGAGATGGAGGTGGTCTCACAATGTTGCCCAGGCTGGTCTTGAACTGCTGGCCTCAAGCAAAACTCCCACCTCAGCCTCCTGAGTCGATGGAATTACAGACGTGAGCCACCACACCTAGCCTCTTGATCACTCTATACCTCCTGTCAAAGTTTATCTTTCTAAACTCTCAAGTACTCTGGCCTTTTTCATTAAACATTTCAGAAGCATTATCCTTCTAGGCTTCTAGACTCCATTTGGTGTCTTGGTCAGCTTGGGCTGCCAAAACAAACACCAACAACTCGATGTTTTACACCGCAGAAATGTATTTTCTCACAGTTCTGAAGGCTGAGAACTCCAAGATGAAGGTGCTGGCCAGTTCTTTTTCTGGTAAGGACTTTCTTCCTGGTGTAGAGATGACTGCAGTTTTACTGTGTCCTCTCTTGGGCTTTCCTCAGTGCATGTATGTGGAGCAAGAGAGCTCTCTCTTTTCCTTCTCTTTAAAGCCACCTTCTAAAGTGCTATTGAAGTAGGACCCTCCCCATTGTGATCTTACTTAACCCTAATTACTTCCTAAAAGCCCTGTCTCTACATGCAGTCACACTGGGGATGAAGGCTTCAACATATGAATTTGTTGTGACTCAACTCGGTTCATAGGACACCATGCTTGCTTTATTCTTTCTCAGTACTGGAGTTTCTGCTCACATATCACCTCCTCAAAGAGGGTTTCCCTGACCACACCATTTACAGTATCTTTCTTTCTGCGATGTCGCTCTTGTTTTCTGATTTTTAGTAGTGCATTGGGTTTAAACACTTGGATTTTTGGAGCAGACTGCTTTGGTTTAAATCCAGACTCCATCATTTACAAACTTTGTGATCCTGACCAAGATAGTTAGCTACCAGTGCCTTGGTGTCCTCATCGGTAAAATGGGGATCATGAAAATACACTCATCTAAGTTAAAGAAGTTAAAATATGCGAAAAGCTAAGAATGTTGTCTTGTACAATTTAAGTTATCAATAAGTGTTAGCTATTACTTTTTGATTCATATTTATCTATTTTCCTCGTTAGAAAAAAATTAAAACTCAAGAAGATAAGAACTTTTTGCCTTGCTGAAATACATGGTATCCCCAGTGCCTAGCCCACTGCCTGATGTTCCATATATATTTGTTGAAAGAACAAAGGTATAAATGAGTGGTTTTTTGGAAGGGTTTTAAAAAGTGTGTTTTACAGTGTCAAATGCTTCAGACAGCTTGGCAAATAAGGACGTAAGCCGTTTGTCAATCAAAAGGTCATTGATGATTTGAGCAGTAGTAATAGCCATAATTTACTGAGCCACCTTGCTAAGTGTGCTAATCTACACAATGGCCCTACAAGGAAGCCATTATTGTCACCATTTTATAAGTGGGGAGCATTGCTGCAGCTCTATGGGACAGAAGTAAGACTGAAAAGGATTGAGAGATGAATGAGAATTAAAGATGTACACTCACCTCTATTACAACTGGCAGCTTGTTTAAACATATTAACCTATAGGAGAAGAAATAAATTCAACTGGTCAGAGACATAATCTGTCAACCAATGTTATCAAAGAAACCAGGTATGATTGAGTCAAGGGGAGTGGAGTGAGAAAAATATAAAATAAATGCACGTTCTCAACTTTATACATATTTTTTCTCCTGGGTCATTTTAAATGCTAACTTAATAATGATTTTCATTTAATTTATTCTTCAGATACTCTGTGCTTGAAAATACAGAGATGATACATTAAAAAAAGTCACCATCTTTGTAAGAATCTTACTGAATAAGAAATATCTTCTTACAAATTAAACTGTTGAAGAGATTTCAACTGGGTTTGGAATCCAAATCAACTAAATTTCTGGCAGAATATTTTCAGGAAAAAAAAAAAAAACAACCCTGGAACACTTGAGAATTACAGTTCTGTATCTCTGCAAAGATTTTTATGTTCTTCCATTGGCGGGTGAGGGGGCAAGAGGAAATTTTCTGGGTAGGCTTACAAAAACAAGATTTTTAAGAGCTTCTGATGATTCTGAGCTACGTTTCTGGACTGGGATTTGAGTGTTTACACTGCTGTTTCTTGGATAATTAAAAAGGTAGGTGCCTGTTTCAGAGAATCTTGTCTCTTCTACCTTGCTTTTTTTGGGTGGTGCGACCTAGATTCTTCTGTATATTCATCCTGACTGTCACTTTTTGGAATTGAGCAAGGCAGCAGCAGCAGCATAAAGATGTAATAGTCACTTTGGATACAGAATATTTAAAAGTTTTGTCTTGTATTTTAAATGGGAGGCTCAAATGTCATTGTTTATTTTCAGGGCAGCGAAGGACCATGAGCAATTCTCCAGTGCTGAAGATTGATCCCAGTCATGTAAAAATAAGTAAGTATTCATCAATGTGTACATTTCTTTATCTGTGTTAGTTTTCTCGAGCTATGTCCCTCCTCAGCCCAGTCTCAGTGCTTCTGTTTTTTATTAGCTCTTTATAGTTCTTTTTTCTTACGCCTTAGTCTTAACTCTTTGCTTGTCGATAAAGATGCCCGGTAGGGATTGTCAGGGGCCAATGAGTGGTTAGAAAATGCCATTTGCCAAAATAAAAATGATAATTTCATTATGTATATCTCACTTGGAGTACTGAAAATTAAAACTGAAAAATAAAGCTAATCCCCAGTCTTTTTTTTTTTTTTAAACTTAAACCTTCCATATTGCTGGGGTGACCTTTTCTGTTCTGTCCTGTGCTAACATCATCATATGAATTTTAAGTTCTCCTCTATCCCTGTGGCTATGTTAGCTTGATAGTTAAGCCAGGACTCTGCCCTGAAGCACTGCACTATTCTCAGCTCCAGGCAGCGAAGGGTTAACAGAGTCTCCAGCGCCTACCGAGTTGTAAAAGGAACTGCTGAAGCTGATCAATGACCACTGTTAAGACCTGGAAACCAATTATAAACCTGAAATTTGTGATGAACAAAGCCCTGAAACACTGGGATGAAAACTACTGAATTAGTCCAGTTCATTAAAATCATTAATAGTCATGAAATGAAAACCACCAGAGTCCAAAAAGGCTTAATGCTCTATCCATATTAATTAGATGGGAGCAAATCTGAACTGAAAAGCAGCACATGCTTTGTAGAATTAGCAATTGGTCTCTACAGACTACACCGATCTCTATTAAAATTCAGTTTAATTAAAATTGATCACGTTAAGAAACTGATGTGGTTAATTAACTGAATTCCTGGACTTCTTTTCATACGTTTCACAGACGCCTTCTACACTGCGTTTGTGGGTGACACTTCATGTTGTACAGAGCAAATCCGATTGCAAAGGTTAACTCTCTGTGTTCCTGGAGAGGATACAAACCACGGAGGAGGGGTGTGTGGGGGAGAGTCAGAGGAAACCGGGCTTTATGGAGAGTCGAACCCCAGGCTAAATTCAAGCAAACTCCTTTAGAAAATTTGTCCCATTCTTGGTGGATAAATGAATGTGTATCAGTGACAAAGAGGTTCTCTCTCCCAGGCTGCCACCTCTGGAGGAGCTGAAAAATATTGCCAAAAACTAAGAGTCACTCTAATATGGAAAGGAGGACAGTCGGGAGTTGGGTAAGTGTGGCTAGTTCTGTATCAGGACTGCTGACGGAATCCTAGTTTTACTGCCTACACACCTCCTTGTTCTGTCTGGCTCAGAAGTCATCTTGTGTTTTTTCCATCTGCAGAATGGGGTAATGACATTTCTAGATTTCACCAAGGCCTAAAATGACAGCAATAGCCCCTCTGCCTTGCAGCTGCTCTGCTGCTCCCAGCCAAGTCTACTCCCCTTCTTAAGTCCACCGCACATTGCTGCTAATGCAGCCTTTCCAAGACTGCAGCTTATGGTGTCACCGACCTGCTCGGAACTCTGTCATGATTGTGCACTGCATACAGGACAAATTCCAAACAGATTTAAATCCAGAGCTCTTCATTATCTGACCCAACATACTCTTACCTTCCTCTGCCTTTTAGCTCCCTATGGCAGGTACTTCTTTGTTTCAGTCACATCGGCCAGTTTACAGGCTTTGAGTTTCTTATTTGCTTTCCAGCTTGCACTCCTTTTCCCTCTTAGAAACTTATTTCAACCCAGCCCATCCTTAAGAATTCCACTGGAATCCCATCGCCATAAAGTTCTTCTGTCATCAACTGACCACAAAAGATCTTTCCTTCCCCTGCCTTCTGGTAGTTGATATGATCTCAACTGTCAATTGGCTCTTGTTCCCCAGAGTCCAAAATAATTACTCACGTGTACACATCAGCCCCTAAAGATTTTAGGTTCTTGTCAGGCAGAGGCCATATCTTATATTTCACCGAATCTGAACATGCCCCCGACACAATGTATGCTCCATAAATGTTGTTTGCAATGAGGATAATAAATTATCCTTTGATAGTTTCTGGCACTTTTCCTCAGCAAGAAAGTTTCTTTGTTTCTAAGAGGAAGTTTGAGCTTTGTCTTAGGATGAACTAGCAAAGGAATTTGAATGTGATGTGCTAATGGCAACAATAATGATAGATGATATTTATTAAACTCATGTGTCAAACACTGTGCATAAGACCTATGTTTTACAAGAAAATCACCTTTTCCCTCCGTTTGTTGCCAGAGTTGCAAGTGCCTCTCTCAGAGTTTTCTTCACCTTTTGAATCTAGGATTGTGTCTTCCATTTCGTTTCTAATTCTTGTATATTTTTGTTGCCTTTTTTCTAACATAATTTGACTTTCTGATTTTTGTGGTTGTTGTTGTTCTTGTGGTTTTCAGGTATTTTCAAAGAACAAGTTTTGAATATACACATTCTTTTTTATCTTCATTGACTGAAATTTAGCTTTTATTTTAAAATTCTCATTTGCTATTTCTTGGCAGATTTCATAGTTTGTTTTTTTCTAATGCCTTAATAAGTTAAAACCTTCCTAATAAGTATTTAATTCCATTTTCCCCATTTTCCCTGTTTTGGTCTTTCTTCTTTCGTGATAAAGGCATTAAGAACATACAAATGCAACTTTTATTGCAATGCTTAGATTTTTGATTAAGTATTTTTATTTTCTCTTCTTTCTATAAATAATTTATAATTTCAGATTTCATTTATTTTTTGATCTAAGGTCTTTTATAAATTATTATTAGGGACTATTTTTAAAATGACTTATTCCTAATTTCATTATGTTTTGATTAGAGAGTATATCTTACATGGTTTCTTTGGTCAAGTATGTAATTAATTCTTATAAACATTTCACAGACATGTATATAGTGCATTTTTTTCTATTTGAAATTTATAGAATTACATTCTTCAATTATTTCATGTATATCCTTATTTTTTGGTCTAATTCAACTGTCAAGTTCTGAATAGTCATATTAAAGGGTACCACTGTATTGTATTTTAATTAAACTCTACTTATATTTCTATGCATTTTTGCTTTCTGTTCAGCTGCTATGTATTTTGATTCACAAAGGTATACAACAATTATATCTTATTCTTCTTAAAATTTTTTAACCCAAATTCATTATCTGATTTTAATATTATCACAGTTTTTCTTGTTGTTTGACTTTGCCTGTTATCTCTTTGCTCATTCATTCACTCATAAATTTCATTTGATTTTTTGAGATATTTTTCTTCAAAATATATTTGCTTGTTATCAAACATATTTGAGAAAATTTACAAACTATATAAACTATCAAAAAATAAAAAAAAGATAGCTGGGAAAATTAGTGCTAGTGGAAATATAAAAAAAAAAAATTCGGCCAGGCACAGTAGCTCACAGCTGTAATCCCAGCGCTTTGGGAGGCCAAGATGAGCAGATCACCTGAGGTCAGGAGTTGAAGACTAGCCTGACCAACATGGTGAATCCTTGTCTTTACCATAAATAGAAAAAGTAGCTGGGTGTGGTGGGTGACACCTTTAGTCCCAGCTACTCAGGAGGCTTAGGCAAGAGAATCGCTTGAACCCAGGAGGTGGATGTTGCATTGAGCCAGGATTGTGCCACTGAACTCCAACCTGGGCGACAGAGCAAGACTCCACCTTAAAAAAAAAAAAAAAAAAAGGGCCGGGCACGCTGACTCACGCCTATAATCCCAGCACTTTGGGAGGCCGAGACAGGTGGATCATGAGGTCAAGAGATAGAGACCATACTGGTCAACATGGTGAAACCCTGTCTCTACTAAAAATACAAAAATTAGCTGGGCATGGTGGCGCATGCCTGTAGTCCCAGCTACTCAGGAGGCTGAGGCAGGAGAATTGCTTGAACCCAGGAGGTGGAGGTTGCGATGAGCCAAGATGGCGCCATTGCACACCAGCCTGGGTAACAAGAGTGAAACTCTGTCTCAAAAAAGAAAAGAAAGTTCCAAGCCAAAATATTTGCTCAACTCGAAAATTCAAATTTTATGGCACACATTTTGTATTAATTTTTATTAATTAATATTGTCTTTTTCTGAATGTTATTGTCCTTTGTATTTCAAAAGTCGTTGCAAAACTAAAAACAGGATTGATTAATTAATGACTGGCTATATCCATATGCCTCTCTTTTGTTCTTTACTGCTGCTGATTTATCGAGCAAACTATTCCAATTCCTGTACTCTCACCACATCAATTAATTTAGAAAGGCAATTAACTGGATTTACCATTTCATTAGTGGTAAATTTCCCTTTCCTAAAATTCCTGATAAAAATCATAGTTTTCTATTATATGAAAACAAAATACAACTCTTCTCTTCTTAATCTCCCTCAAGATTTATTGTCTCACTGGTTGTCTGCTATTACTTACTCTTTCCCCCATCTCTACCACTTTGACAACTCAGGTTTTGCTGAGATAGTTTAAAACCTTTGGTTTCAATACATCAATCATTAGATCTTCCTTTGAAATATGGATCTTTGTTTTAAGAATACTTATATAGTTCACATATTATGTGCTCTCAAGCAATTTTTCTAGCTACATATTTTTCGTGTTTTATTGCTTCTTCTCCTCTTCTTCTCCTATCTTAAGATCTCTGTTCTGACTCATTTATTTTTTACATATATATGGTAAAATCACTGGTGCTTGAGTGATTTTCAGTGCTTCCCTATCAACCTTCTGTAGATGTTATTCCATAGCCAGAATAGTTGTTTTCTTTGGTAAATCATTGTCATTTCCTTTCAAATAATACTTAAAATTAAATAAGGCCTTTTACTCTCCAGACTCCAGTATTTTTTAGCATAGAGAATTTTAATGTTGCCACCAATTTTTTTCTCCTTCTAGATCTTATATTACTCACATTTAGTTATCTTCCAATTCTTCTACCTTGTCCTTCATGATTCCCATCTTTTTGTATCTTTTGCAATGTTTTGGAACACATACTCCATTTGATATTTTTGGATACTAATTAATTCTCTCATTCAATTTATAAACTAAACTTTTGTTTCAGAAATAGAATCTCCTAGGCATTTGCATTACTTTTGTTGTATTGTTTTAGTAATTGCCTGTCTCTTTGAACAGCTGTATTTAATCAAGAACCACCTTTTGCAGATGTTCTGAGTATTCTTTCTCTAGTTGCTAAGATCCCTTACATGGATTATAGTTTCCCATTGCCTACTCTACGGGGTCAGGCTGAGTTCTTGGGACACTCACTTGAGAGTGGTGTATCCCAGATTTATTTCCGTCTGTGTGGTGAGTTCAGTACCAGCTGACAGGTGGTAGTAAGTACCTGATTGAGGCTCTCAAGAAAGGGAGAAAAGGAAATCCCCTTGAAATAGTTTTCTTGGAACCACTCTTCTTCTTAGAATGCCACAGATTTCCAAAACCTATGTTCTCTCAAAGATCGTGGTACACTGATTTTTGCTCCAAAATTCTCCACAACTCCAGGCTGCATCCAAAGCCAGAACAGAAAGTCTGACCTCAACTTTCTATGTCCGGGTCTACAGAGCCCAGAGTCATATTCTTACCCTGCAAGGCCCTGCGTGCCTACCAGACAGACGCAGGAGAGGAAGACTGCTGTTAGGCACTGAGATTAGAGAACAGCAGGGACACATTCAGGGTGCCATATTCCCAGCATTACCCTGAATACTTTTTAAATGTTTTAAAACGTGAAATATAACACTCATACAGAAATGTGCATAAATCATAAATATCAGTACAATAAACAATTATAAAATGAATCTTGTGTAACTACTACCAAAGTCAAGGCATAGAATATTGGCAGCTACCCAGAAAACACCTGTGTCTTTCTCATTTAACATAATACCTTCTTTGCCCTTCTAAAGGTAAATCACTATTCTGTCTTTTATAGTAATTAGTTTTCTTGCCTCTCTGACAAGGTCTTACACGTATGCATGTATGCTCAAATAAATGTAGTTTAGTTTTTACTTTCAAACTTTATATACACGGCATTATATAGTATGTATTCTTTTGTGTTTCACTCCTTTTTGAACCTCATATATATGGTATCATATAGTATATATTCTTTTATGTTTGCTTATAATATTTACTCTTTGGTCTATAGCTCATTCCTTTTTATTTGCTATAGAGTATTCGATTGAATGGGTTTGCCACATAGCTTGGTGTAGTCTTCCATCAATGAATGTTTGGGTTGTTTCTAATTCAATGCTATTTCAAAATATTCCTTTTGTAAACATATACAATGCATGCACTGATTCACAAGTATACAAGTTTCTCTAGAACATATAAATAGGAGTAGAATTGATGTGTTGGCAATAAGGCTGCATATTTTTTATGTTATTAGAAAATGCCAAGCTGTTTCTAAAGATGTTGTATCAATTTACAACAACCAGTGATTTATTAGAGTTTATTAGCAGTTTATTAGTGTTCTCATTGTTTTATGTCCTTTACCACTCTGTTGAATATGTAATGTTATCTCACTTTGGTTTTAAGTTGCGTTTCCCAATTAGAAGTAAAGCATCATTTTTTATGTAAGAAAAAGTACAAACACAAAAGAGTCCTTTACAAGCTGAGAGTGAAAGTAACATAGCTGCACTCAATGCTTGACAGAGTGGTAATTCTCATAACAATCTTGAGTTAGGTATGCTATTATCACCCCCATTTTATAGACGGGGAAGTTTGAGTTTTGATGAAGACATACAGCCAGTCAATAGCAAAGCTAAGATTTGAACCAGAGTTGAACATCTCAGCACTGAGTCCCCTATACTTTAAGAAGCTAACAGCCATGTGGATAATAGTCTAGAGATAGGAGTTACTAATGGTAACGAGAGCAGGTAGGAGCCTGTAGTACAGTATTTGATGAAAATGTTCACAGGGTGAGTGAGTCACACAGGTGTAGCTTTAAAGCTTG